TTCACAGATCCTAGATCATGCTTTTCATTCAAGGACTTGTTTATCAGTTGCCTCTACATACAAATAAAGAGTGGGTCTCTCATATAAAGTGGGGTTTACTTAAAACTGGACAACCCCAGTGAACAACCTATGTGAGGAACAGGTATCATTCAGGTAGTAATTTTATTGAAAAAGATTAATAAGTAAGGTAGTGCTAACAGAGCAGAGCAGAGGTGAAAAACATAAAGCCTATTCTAGGGATTATAGGACAGTCCAAGAGACAAAGGTTTAGAAGTTTGATTGCTTAATAGAGCGAATGGAGGAGGAAACTTGATTAGTAGGAGTGACAGACGTCTCAAGTCGTCATCACAAAGAGACAGGGCCAAATGAGTGGGGGCAGTGAGGGACTGAGAGTTCCCATGGCAGAGTCCAAGCAGAGGGAAAAGTGAGGGGTGCAGGATATGCATTACGGTGTTGCATCCATGTGGGGAGGGTTGAACCCTACAGAAGTCTGGTATTACAGAAGCATAAGAAATGCTCGAATAAAAGACTAAGAGCTGATGAGGTCATGAAGGCACAAAAGGGCTTGTACAAAAGGGCGAATGTACAAAAGGGCTTGAAAAGTGGAGAGGAAGGTGTTTGGCTTTTCTGGTGGTTTTTTTTTTTTTCTTTAGAAGACCTGGTGGGAGGGAACAGACAGGAGACAGGAAACCACTGAATTCTGAGAACAGAATTGGTGTATATTCCAGCAAAGAAAAGATGCTAAAGGAATCCTTGGTATGCTACACACCGTGCAACTTGCTAAATTTGGTATTATCAGGTAACCTTCAGTTCTATAGACTTTTATCTCTGTGTAGGTAAGTCATTTAACTCTGCAAATGAGTTTGTTAAATAAATAAATGAATAAGTCTACAAATAAGCAAGCTGATATTTTTTAAAGCATCTTTTAGTGCTTTTAAATTCGTAGATCTCAAATAAGATTAAAAAGGAGGGAGGTAGGAGTCCCAAATTGGATTGGGCGCAACAAATCATTTAGAGAAAAAGAAAGAATTTTAAACGAAAGTATTAAAGCAAGGAAATAACTGGGAATTCTACAGGTTATAAATGACATATGGACTAAATCAAAGACCCTCTATCATTTTTTCTCAAGCTAGTTTGAGAAGAAAATATTTTCAAAGTTCCCTTAAAAGCTTATACTGCATGCATTCTTCTTTCCCTGATCTACTGCATTCAACCAGAACACAAGACTCTGAACTTCGGTATGTAGTTTTTTTTAAATAGCATTGAAAGTTCCATCTGAAATTTGTCTTCAGTAAAAACATTTAAGGACCAATTTGTTGTAAAAAGACTAGATAAATAATTTAGAATTTTAATGCAGGCAAGTAAAAGTTCAGAAATTTGGCAAGGTCACAAAAGCTGCAGTCATTAGAGACCAGGCTGCAGTGCTTGCTGAGGCCCTGTCAGCTCCAGGCCTGACGTGGGCGGAGCCTCGGGCCTAGCCCAAACCAAGGAGGCGGGGCTCCGAGCCAGGACTACACAAACAGGGCAGGGTCTTGGGGACTTCTGCTCAAACACTGCTGCACAGAGACCCTACCTTCACCTGGCAAAGGGCAATAATCAGCCACCTTCAGTTCCTTTAGGAGGTAGCTTTCACTGGGCAAGCAAACCAAGGCCATGGAGGCAACCTCCCCACCTCTCAAAGGATACGCTTTGTATATTAAGGGGATTTTGTGGAAAGCTCTTAATAAATTAAGCCCCCATAACTTACTATGACATAACCACTTACTGATTCCCTTCTAAAAGAAATGGTACATTAAGTACATATGACAGTGACTGTAGCCTTCCTGTGGACAAAATAAAAAACATACAATGAAATGACGATGGATTGGCTATGTGCTAACCAAAAGGTTCAACCAAAGTAATAGCTTACATTCCCCACAGGTCTCTTGATTACTGCAAATACATTGCTACTTGGCCAGGAGCTGTGTGTATTAAGTGCAAAATGAGTGAAGTTTCCTTGTTCTGTAGTTACCATCACTGAAGCAGCCAAACTAGATAATCAGGTTAACAATGACAAAAACAAACAACAACAACAACAAAACCTTATAGGGCCTGATTTATAAATCTCTCAATGAACATTTTATTTTATTTTATTTATTTTTATTTTTTGAGTTGGAGTCACACTCTGTCACCCAGACTGGAGTGCAGTGGTAGCTCCCGGCCACCACAGCCTCGACCTGCTGGGCTCCGGCGATCCTTCCGCCTCAGCCTTCCAAGTAGCTGGAACGACAGGCGCGTGCTACCACGCCCAGCTAATTTTTTATTTATTGTGGAGACGAGGCCTCACCAAGTTGCCCAGGTGGGTCTCAAACCTGTGGGCTTAGGCAGTCCACTCACCTCAGCCTCCCAAAGCGCTGGGATTACAGGCTGAGCCACCGAGCCAGGCTCAATGAACATTTTTTTTTTTTTTGAGCTGCAGTCTCACTCTGTTGCCCATACTGGAGTGCAGTGGCCGCTCCCGGCCACGCAACATTTTAAAGTCTGTTCTAGACTTATAGTGTATAGAGCAACATAGTGTTTTAGAGACAATTCCTATTTCCGGAATTTTACAGTCTAATAATTATCTGGTTTTACAACCTAAGTGATTCAAATTAAGCAAATAACTGCCAAATGTGCATTTCACTTTGTTTTGCAGAGTTCCTGTCTTTAAAAAAAAAAATCTATCCTACAGAAATACTTAGGATGAAATAGAGTCTTGAACTTTCTGGGAAAAGAAAATACTATTCCGAAGGATTTTAAGAGAGGTCAAAGATGGTTCTTTCTCTTAAAAAGTGGTTAAAATCATGAGTTCTAGAGCCGGGTCAACTTAGTTCTAATCCCAGATCACCACTTTCTAGCTGTGTGGCATTAGAAAAATTACCTAGTCTCTCTGTGCCATTTGAAAATGAGTATAAATAAAATACCTACCTTATAGTGTTACTGACATAATTATATATGACAATCTTGTATTGTCACTCTAAGTCTCAATTAATGTTATCACTCCATCACTTTTGTGTCATCTTCTCTACTTAAAATCTGTCCTGAAATAAATGTTAACTAGAGAGAAGGTAGACTTTGTACAAAACGGAAAGTGAATTGCTTCAGCTATTGGTACATTTTATAGTCACTATGGAGTGTCAATCTGCCACTTGTTTCATCAATGAAGTCAGCATTTTTGCCATTGAAAGTGTCCACAAGCTAATAAAAATAATGTATTCACAACATTTTGCAGGTTTTTCATCACGGGTAAGACCCAGCAAAGATGCAGATTTCTCCATGAATACCCATTGCAATTTACACTGTCAGTTGCCATGAGATTTTCTTTCCATAAAGAGTAAAGTTAAACATCATGAGGTCACAGAATAAAAGTGACTTGAGACTTTGCCATTTTCTAGATTGCAGCACTCAATGTTAATTTTGGCCATTTATACTTTCCAGTAATAGATATATGAACATACTTTCTCTTTTTTTCCTGCAAGCCAGTTCTTACTCAGCAACAGGGAGAAAAGGAGAAAAAGAAAAAAAAAAAAATTACTCCAAGCTGAGCAATATCTAGTCTTACCACTTTTCTAAATAAGGAGACTGAGGAAATATGGGTGACCCACTTCAAGAAAGAGAACTTTCCTGCCAAGTAGAGGGATTTGTTTCTGGTTGCATCCCAAAGTCAAATATTAATAGTATTCAGAATGATCCTTCCCTCCAATCTCTCCTACTATGCAAATAATGGAAAGCTGATAGTACAGAGATAAGCGATACCTGTGTTTTCAGAAGTTGTAACTCAGGTATTGCAATAAAAACTTTCGACATTTAGATTCAGAGTTTTTGAACAGGATTTGTAGCTTTTGAACAAAAGATTTACTACTGAAATTAGGCGGTGGCTATCAGTTAGCCCAAGTATTTACAACCTTACAACAACAACAACAAAAGACAACCAGGAGCCAGATAATTCAGCAAGAAAACAAAGTAGCTCCCAGCTAGTGCAATCCTGAAGGTCAGATAGTTAATATAAATTGGTGATTTAAAAGCATAGCAACTTTGTCAAAATTCATTTTAATAACACTTTTGTTTAAAATAGTAAATAAAATAATAGCAGCAATAATAATGGCGCATTAATATTTATAATCCAAGAAAAAAATATCATGCCCAATTCATTGCAATGTGCTTCTTTTGTGTCCCCTGGAAGCTGGTTGCCTTCTTAGATGGGGGCAACTTAAAAAAAAAAGGAATATGCAGAGCAAATCATAATCCTTTTGCCAATAATAAACACACAAACAATGGTGCAAAATGCATTGAAAAATAATGGTGCCCAAGGATTACGACTATGACACTCAGCTTTCAGGCACAGCCTGAGCCTTCACGATCTCTCCCTCTCAGTCCATTCAAACTCAATAAGAGTGTTTTCAAGAAATGCCTAATACTCATTTATTCTTGCATCTAACATCACTTAAGGAGGTGAACTTTTAGTCATCAGCTGTGTAACAGTATCCGGGTTTTTAATTTCTCCCACCAAAAGTACATACGGCATACTCCTTCTCGACCAAACGATTAGAGCAAAGGCTGAAAAACTTCAAGAGCCAGTCTGGGAGACTCTGCCGTTCTGATGCCTCTTCTTACAGCTCCCCAGGGCAGCAGAGACCATGCCTGGGGAAGCCAAAGAGACTTGAGCTAATGCGCGCTGCGATTCCAGTTAGACACCCTCTGATCTGCAGTGGCTGCTGTGAGGCGGCTCTAAGTCTAACTTCTCACCAAAGCAGTTCCCCGGCAACTTTTATAACAGATGTGCTCGGGGAGTGTACTGTAAACCTCAGAGCGGGTCTCAAAGACCGCGTCCCTGGCTGCTTGCTTGCCAACCTCAGGGACCAAGATCCGTCTCAGAACTCTCCGGGGCACAGAAGGGCCTGTCACAGAGGGAAATATGCAAACACACACAAGGCGCAGCCTCCAGCTGCCGAAGAAACCTCTTGTAAAAGGCGCTCTCTTACCTTGTACTTCATTTCGGCGGCGCGGAAGTGAGCCGTTTTCCTACACTAGTTAGACAGCATCAAGCGCTGCCGTGTCCGCCCCTCCATCGGGCGCAGAGCAAAGGAAAGTGAGCAGGGTCTGGGGCAGCGCCGTTTGGTCAGACCCGGGGCGCAGTCCAAAGCCTCTGAGCTCACTGTTTTGATCGAGGGAGGCCGACCACGGACTCATTTGCATGCAGCGCCACCATTGGCTAATGGAGCAAGGTACTGCTCAGGCCCCGCCCACCCCTCGCTTCAGAAAAACTGACAAAGAGCTTGCAATGTGATCATTTCTTGTCACAGTATCAGAGAGAGTGGAAAATAAAACAGAAAGTGGGGAACCATTCTGAATTTTCCTCTGCCCCCAGAAGAGAAAGAAGGAAAGACGAAGGAAGGAAGGAAGGAAAGAGGAAAAAAGGAAAACAGAAAGGCCAGGTCTTTTTAATATTATCCTGTTTTAAAGAAGCCGAATTCACAAAGCAGTCTGACAGTCGCGCTTCCTGTGACCTAGCAACTCCTTCTTAAACCCATCTCGTTTCAAAGCCATTCACCTCACAATCTCTACATGAAACAAACTCGGGGAACAAAAGGTTTTCTGTCTCCAAGCCCCTTTTTACTAACCACCCCTGCTGATATCTCTCTCTGTGTCTCTTTCTCCCCCCCATCCTCCCCCTTTTCGTGGCTGTTTGCTTTTTTTGTTCTTTTCAATGTTCAAAGTACTTTGCAGTATCAGTCTGCAAAGAGCTGGAATACAATTCTCCCTCAGTGAAAAGGAACTCCTAGTACAGGCATCAAGGTTTCCCTGGACAGCTTCTCACCAGGCCTCACAGAGTTGAGTGTCACACGTATTGGGCAACTTTCAGTGACTTTGCTGAGGATAAAGTTTAGATGTGACCTCTCAGATGGGACTGACCTATACATGCCCTATACATCATCACCATCCACTGAGTTCTGTTCTTTGATGACCGGCATTCCTAGCTGGAGCTTTGAACATTGTAGTTTTTTTTTTTTCTTCTGACCTCTCTCCTGAAGATGACCCATTAACCCACCAACACTTTTTATCCACGGAAACAAAACATGCCCACTGTTTGATGAGTCGGACTAAAAAGACCAGTCTGTCTTCAGTGGAGCACAGAATGTGATTTCCATAGAGATTCCAGTTTATGATTTCTGTAGAGAAAGAGAATCACCCAGGAGAAGACAGAATTGGTCATTTTCAGCAACTCTTCTGAAGGATTGAGCTGTGACACACACACACACACACACACACACACACACACACACACACACACACACACACTAAACCTTTTCTGGGCCTCAGGATTGAGACTTGGTAAAGCCAGACAATAGCTGTCCCTGAGTGGGATGCACTCCAGCCAGACTACATTACTTGGATGGAAAAAGCAGCCCTAATTTTTTTTCCTGACCAAGTTGGATCAGAATCTGTTTGACTTTCCTCCCCTTCAAAATACCCAATGGATTAAAACTTTGCATTTATGATCTAAGTAGAAAAAATTGGAGAACAGCTGTCTTACAAAAGTAGTTTCCAGATACAGGGTTGGCAGGGTTGGCAGTTTAGTTCACAGATTAATGTGGCATGACATGACCCCCAGGCCATTATAGTGAGGTTGACACACCTGTTCCTGCCTCCACTAGGCCTTGTTCTTAAACCTCATTTGACCTTAGAGCAAAAATGAGCTTGAATAATTTTGCAAGGTCTTTCTGAACACAAATTACGCACACAGCATGTTGTGTTGCATGGATCTTCCTAAGAGTCTTGCAGACTTACAGGAGAATAGGAAATAGTTTTTGGTGTCTGCCTGGATAAAAGAAGACAATGAGTCCAAGGCCTTCCCATATGTAAGATGAGTCTTGTGGCTTCCAGAAGATCTAGATAACATTCCTCTGGCTTCCTAAGCAGTAAAGCTGAATCCTCCTGTTTTGTTTGAAGAGTACTATTGCGTAGGTGAATGCTGTCCCACCCTATTTTAATGTTTGAAAACAGTTTCCTAAAGCCTGTGCTAGGGCTTTTTATAATATCATTCTTAGTTCTCATCAAGTGGCCCTCCTACTTTCCTGTTTCTATCCTGTACAGTTGTCTATCCTAGACAATTGGAATCTGCCAGAAGTGTATTTCAAGATGGTTTGGGTAAGTGTATAATTAGTCGAGTAAAGGAAGGCACAAGGGTGTTGGAATCAGGTAAACCATGTGAACCTGTGTTGAAACCTCAACAATTTTCTTAACTTCTTAATTTTGGTATTCTTAATTATAAAATAGAGAGAACAATAATACAGCTAGAGTTATAATACAGATGGAATGAAATAATGTGGATAGAAGTTAATAGTACTTGGTACATTACAAAACCTTAGTAAATGATTGCTTATTGTTAGTATCATTGTTGTTATTAATTATTTAATAATAATATTAGATTATTATTTTTACTCTATTATGTAATATTATTATAATCTATTTTTGAAATGGTATTAGTATTTAATTATTGCATTAATTATAACTATGGTTAATATTAGACTGTTGTTGATATTTTAAGTGCGGTAGACATTCAGAAAAAGGTGGAGGAATTCCCTCCTCTGTGGACCACCCTTTTTTAGGACAACTTTCAAATTTAACAGATATTACCAGAGTGCCTAGAACATCCCAGGTACCTTTCTATGTGAGAATACAGCAGTAGCCCAGACAGACAAAGTTCCCATCCTCATGAAGTGTAGAGTCTAGTGAGCATAGAGGAAAATAATTAAGTGAATTTATAATATGATTTGTAGTGATAAATGCTATGGAGAAGAATTAAGCAGAAAAAATTGCTAGAGGAAAACAGATCAGAGTGGGCATCTGTTAGATAGAGTGGTCAGGGAAGCCCCTCTAAGGAGGTGATATTTAAGCAGAAATCTGAATAATATGAGTGATCTAGTGACTCAGAGATCTGAGGAAAGAGCCTTCCAGACAGAAGTGACCCATGGGCATGCCTGAAGTAGGCATGAGTTTGGTGTGTCTACAAACAGCAGGCAGTCCACTGTGCTTAGCATGGGATACACAGGGCCAAAACTGAGGACAAGCACAGAGAGGTAGGCCGTAGGGAGTCTGGATTTTTTTCCTGAGCATGACAGGAAATTACTGCAGTGTTCTGAGCACGAATAACCAGTTTCCCTCTGTTTTTACCCTTTGTTTAAATACTCAAGAACAGCAGGATAGTTAGTCAAAATATGGAGCTCTGATCTTAATGCAGCTTGCGTAGTGCACATAGTCGTTACTTTATTAGTGTCATTGAGTATGTTCTCTTAAAAATCCTTTGGGGAAATGCAAGTTCTCTCAAGGAATAGAGAAACAACTCAGATGTAAAAATGCTGCTTAAAGTGGACTAAATAATTGATTGACGCAGTGGCCCCAGTACTCCCATGGGTTACCCCCCTAAAATGGGCCAGAACCCTGGGGCTTGGACCCTACTCCTGTGCTCACCAACATTCTCTTTGGTGGGCATCTCTGCTTGTTCTCCTTGTAACCTGCCTGCTCTGTCTTATGCTTGTGCAAGGGAAATGGCACTGGATGCCATCCAAATGATTTTCCAGCTGCCACTGGGCACTGGCATGGATACAGAAAAAATAAATAAATTGAGAGGATGCTAGAGAGAAAAAAATATTTTTGTTCATAACTTAGAAGGGACCCATGTGGCTACTCTCTAAGAGTGAAGGGCGAAGTTGCAGAACCAGAGCATGCAAGGGCAGAAGACGACCTTGGGAACCACCTAATACAGTTCTTCATGAAGAGGACAAAGCTGCCGCTCAGAGAGTTTGGGTGCTTTGCACAGAGTCCCACCAGCTTGACTCTTAACAGCAATCAGTGTTTTAGGTTAGTCCCCTGAATGTCTTGTCTGGTTTATTCCAACAATTTCTTTTAGTTTCCCTGCCAGCAATCTCTTCCTGCTCATATCTGTCTTCCACATTGCTCACTGCCTGTTTAATTCCTAGAATACAGAGCTGATCACACGACTACTAGGTTTAAAAACCTCTAGTGACACTCCAATGCCTAAAAAAGAAAATCAGGACACTTTGGCACGGACTGTCATCCGAGCCCACCCTTCCTTTCTGGCTTCACCTTCCTGTATCCCCTTCTCTAGCCACACGGGGGCTGGGGCCACGGGTAAGGGTGGGGGACTCACCGATTCCAAAAAAGGCTTGTACCTTCCTGACTTGCACAGGCGGGTCTCTCTGCTGAAAATGTCCCCCCTTTACTCTTCGGCCGTCAAGGCCAGCCTCAACACTAACTCTTTTGTATCCTTGCCAACAACCCCTGCTCTGCCCACCTCGCCCTTTTAGAACGAATTCCTCCCTCCCTTTACTGTGCCCCCATTGTACTTGGAACACGGCCCTATTATAAAAACTTTTCCACATTGTATCATAATGATTTGTTGACGTCTGTTTCCCCAGCTCTGATGTGTGCTCCAGAGGGACGGGGTGCTTGCTTTCTTGCTCATCTCTGTGTCACTTATCCTGTCTTTAAAGGGTTGCTGAATAAATGAGTAAGAATATAAGTGTAACTTCAAAGAGCACGTGTGTACCTTTATTTTCTACCTGATGCCCAGAAGGGGATGGAGAAAATGTGTGTTTCAGGGCAGAGCTGTGGTTTCCACTCGTTATAAATGGAGATAGGATACATCTTTTCAGAACCAACTCAAGGCCTGCTGCCGGTTCTGTACCTATAAATGAAGAAGGGCTTTTACATTTTTAAGTGGTTGGAAAGAAAAACAAAAGGAGTGATATTTCATGAGATATAGAAACATGAAACTTACATTTCTGTGACTATAAATAAAGACACTGGAGCATGGCCATCTCCAGTCTTTTATCTTGTCTTTTGAGTTCCAATGGCAGAGTTTAACAGTGCCCACAAAGATGGTAAAACCTACAGAGCCAAAGAAAAAGTATTATTTGCCCCTCTACAGAAAAGTTTGCTGACCCATGCCCTAGAATAGTGCAAGGTTTATCTATCCCTGAGTTCAGACTAAAGTATATATCCTTCTAAAGTATAGATCCTTCCACATCTATAGAGGAACACTCGAGAAGCTGAATGAATACTGGGTTAGAGGAACAAAGCCTAGTCCTAAAAAGGTAAACATTCTAGGACTGTGTTTTACCATTTCTAGTTTGATAG